TTCTTATAGGTAAGGTTACTTTCCTTAATAGCTCACTTCCCTGAAAACTGTTCTTTGCCCCCTCCCTCTGATTCAAGCAGTCCAGGATTCCTCAGCTGTGCTGTGCTCAATCCGTGCCGCAGTGTCTGCATGACAGCAGTTAGCACGCAGTGCAATCATTTTTGTTTTTCTTTAGCACTCCCTTGAATTTTTAGTCTCCTCAGAAGTATGTTTTTAGGTGCCTGACGTTTTTCAATTCTTTACATGTTCTAGATAAAAGTCTTTTTTTTTTTTTTTTTTTTTTTTGCGGAACCAGGGATTGAACTCAGGCCTTTGTGCTTGCCAGGGAAGCACTTATTCCACTGAGCCATCTCCCAGGCCCCTAAAAGTCCTTTTTCTGAGGAACAACTGGCTAAAATTTTTTTCCCACTCTGTGGGTTGTCTTTTCCCTCTGTTGGTTATTTCTTTTGTTGTGCAAACTTTTTAATAAGAAGAGATTCCAGTTGTTACTTTGTAGTATTTTCTGTGTAATCTTGGAACCCTTCTCTACTGTTGGTGGGGTGTGGACTGGAGCAACCACTGTAGAAATCAAAGTGCAGATTCCTCAAAAAATTAGTAGTAGAGGTCTCATTTGACCCAGATATTTCCCTTCTGGCTATCTTCCCAAAAAAATTAAAAACATCATACCAAATTGACATATGCAGCCATTTTTGCAGCAGCACAGTTTATAATAGCTAAATATTGGAAACAGCTCTAATGCTTATCGACTGAGGGTTGGATAAAAAAGATGTGATCCTCTCATGTGATGGAGTACTACTCAGCCATAATGAAGGATAAACTTGACACATTTATACATGAATAGATGCAGCAGAGACTACACCCATAAGCGAAATAAATCACATTCGCATGTGTAGAAATATTGTCTGCCTGGTGTGAGAAACTGAAAGAGTAAATAAAGTCCAAAATGTATGATATTATGAAATGGGAAGAAACTATTCAAAAGGAAAGAGGAACTAAGGTGGGAGCAAAGGAAGAGGAAGAAAGGAAAACAATATAAGATAATTATGCTGCTAGTTTCTCTTAGCTCATTGAAAAGAAGGTTTGTGTTAATGTTGTTTGGAGAATTTTTCATGCCCTTATCTCATACAGTGAGTAACTACTTTGACAATAATAATACGCAGTGCATTAACTATATTTATTCTCCTATTACTTTTTTCATAAAATAAAGGAATAAAATCATATGATCATATAATTTATTTCTATTCCTAGTTCTTTATTCTATTCCATTGACCTATGTGTTGATTTACATACAGAATCATAGTGTATGGATCAGTGTGGTTTTAAAATTCAAAAATTCATTATTATTCATCATTATAATGTCTACATGTGTTCTTTGTAAAGGTTATGATATCTGTTCTGGAAATTTGTATTTGTTACATAAATTTTAGAGTGAGCTCATCAGTTTTTATATATGTTATTTTTATGATATTATATATCCTTTTTTGAGTCAATAGGTCATGTTTTAGCAGAAGATCAGTTCTGGAAAAATTGACATCATAACAACATTGAAGATTCCACAAAATAAATATTATAATTATCTTCAATTACTTAGATATCAATTAGATTTACTCACAAATATTTTGAGCAAGAGTGGAAGAATTGTATGTATTTTGTTACTATTGAGTGTCTAATGGTTTGTGGAAGAAACTATTACAAACAGATTTGATTTTTATATTTATATAATTTTATGTAGTTTATTTATATTTAACTTTTATTTTCAAATAATTTTAGTAATATAGTAGAAAGTACAGACAGTTCTCATTTATTCTCCACCCATTTATGTCTGGCGTTAGTGCCTTACGTAGCCGTGTCAATACATCAAATTCAGAAGTTATCATAGTGCATTATAATTACCTACACGCTAAGTTTTATTTTTGAGTTCCTCAGTTGTTCTACTAAAGTCCTTCTTTCAGTTTTAGAATTCAAATCCAGAATACTGTATTACTCTCTTCTGGCTTTCAACATTTTCCTGGTTGTCATAATCATGGCAATTTTAAAGTATACTGGTCAGTTAAAACATTTTTTAAAATTAATTTTATTGAGAAAGAAATAGCAATGAGACAGTTTCAAAACAGGTTAGTAGGACAGTTACAATAATTAATACATTGCATATTGTTTTCTTCATAGTAGTTATTCATAGTACAAGATGCAGACATGATATATTGTCTAAATACTATTAGTACAAATCTTCTCATTGAACTAAGAAAAGGTAGCTGTATATCTATCTTATTTTGTATATATAAATATATATAGATTTTTTTTTTCACTACAACCTGGTCCTTCATTTATATCCCCTTTTGTTTACTTTTTTCAGAGATGGGTATTCCATTGCCATTTAAATATTGTAGGTGCTTGAATTCATCAAAATAATTCAATATAGTCCAGTAGCACATAATAGTAGTGAGTTGTCCACAGAACTGGCAATGTCAGAAGTTGTTGACTTGAGCCTTTTACAGCTCAGCATATTTATATGGCTTTACTCTTTATACCTTGAGTTTATACTTTTCTGCTAGATGGCTAAGACCAAGATAAAGCAAGACCTATCCAACAAAAAATGTAACTTTTGTATCTCACTAGGTCAGTCAAATCCCCTCAGGATTTATCCTGAAACCCTGTACCGCAGTTTGTAGATCCTTTGTCACTGTCAGCCAGGTGGATGAGTCGCGGCCATTGCTTGACCAGTTTGCTCTCTGTGAAAGCCTGAGAGAATGTTTTCTCTCTAGATGACTTTCCTTAGGCATACTCTATCACTCTATCGTCGATCACTTTCCTCTGTGGCCCCATAATCTCCTTGAACAGAAAATGTGAGACACCACTGCGTTACAGGATGCTACTCTTATGTGACTTATATCACGGCATCAATGACATTCACAGGACTTTCCACTGGGACAAGACCAGACCCTAAGGCCATGACCGTGGAACTAGAAATACAATTAATTAATCAAATGATATTTCCATACTACCACATAAACACGCTCCGTATTGGGCTTTATTAAGTGTCCTTGGTGTCTATCAAGACACTCAAACTGACAGCCAAGTTTAACCATTAATTCTGCTCTTCAAAACTCTGAAGAAATTTTCTGACTCAACAAAAGGATTTTTGTAGACATAATTAAGTTACTGGTTTAGAACAGATGACCGACACTATGTCATTTATCCCATAGAGATCAAATTAATGAAATGAACCCTTAACTATCAGGGAATTTTCTCTAACTGAAAGAAGCCAGATGCAAAGGAAGTCAAAGTTAAAGAGCTACCCAGACCATGAAGAATTCAGCCGAAGATTGCTGCTTGTGAGAAATAGGCACCCGCCCAGCACAGGATGCTGTGGAGGGACTTATGGGCTAACTGCCAGGAAGGAAATAAAAACCAAGATCCGGTGACTACAGGGAACTGAACTGCACCCTAGCCAAAGTGGCTTCTAAGGAAATTCTTCCTGGATCCTCCTAATGAAAACTAAGCACCAGATCTTATATTCAGCCTTGTAAAACCCAGAGCAGAAAAACTAGCCAAGTCAATCTAGATTTCTGACATTCAAACCTGAAAACAAAATTGTGCTGTTATAAGTATCTAAATTTGTGATGGTTTACTATAGTAACTACAGAAATCTAACACATTAGTATCCACATATCTAAATTACTTCTATATTCTCAAGGTATGCAATTGTATTTAATTTAATATAAATCCATACTGATATCTCTGCCTTTTTTTTCAATATTTTATTTTATTTTATTATTTTGAAGAGTAAAAACAAGTAGCAAAAACAAAGACAGAAACTGGGTAACAACAGTACACATGGTACAGATTTTCAAAACAACTGTAGTTTCACAGTTATTGAAACTTTCCATTATTGGGCCAGCCAAATAGCTTATTAAAGCGCTCACAAGCTGGAGCAGGGGCTGGGGGATCGCGGCCCTGCGGTGCCGGCCCCACCCCCGGGGCACACAGAGACTGCAATTGAGACTGGGTGTGGCGGTGCGCGCCTGTAATCCCAGCTCTTGGGAGGCTGTAAAAAGGCAGATCACTACGAGTCCCGATCTAGTAGTGAGACCCTGAACACCCTGTAGACCACTCCCTCAAATACAGAGGAGAAAGAGAGGGAGAGAGAGAGAGAGAGAGAGAGAGAGAGAGAGAGAGAGAGAGAGAGAGAGAGAGATTTCCACGCCAAGAACACTACTCTGTATTTTTTAGGGATACTGACTTTTCTGGGACACTAAGGCACTTCCCTGCAGGCTCCACCTGGCATTCGTTCCTAGTAGTCTGAGAATCAATGAAACAAGGCACTGAAAATACAATATGGTCCCAATGCCACGCTGCGACAAAAGTTTGTAACACATTAATATAATCGAGATTTGGTCTGAGAGATGGGTCTTGGGAATGTTTGGATTAGTCTTTTATCTTTTTAATTAAATTTATTGGTACGTTTTAGGCATACATAATGATCACTTTCATTATGGGGCACTTGTGACTGTACATGATACAAGCTGATTATTTTTCCCATTCTCCTGGCTCCATCCTACCCCCTTTCCCTTTTAATTTACAAAGCTTTGTTGACATTTTTGGGTTTTGTTTTTTTTTATTTGCCCTTCCTTCCTCCCTCTCACCATCTCTTGTTCCCTTTTCAATTTGAACATTTTATTCCTGTTTCACAGTATCTGTTATACATCTTGGTCTTTATTTCTCTTGCTTTTTAAGAGTGGCAGTTGTCAGAGCATATATGGGACAAAGGAACCAGCAGAACGCTCAGACCTTCTAACCATTCTCATTTTGGCTGTTCTCCACTTCCCCAACGCTCCCAGCAGCACAAGTACCACAGAGATTCCCCTTTAAACTTACACCAGGAAACAATGTAAATCCAGATTGACAGGTCCATGGTCCAATGACAGTGTGCGAGCCTCAGCACCACCGGAAGGAAGAGGCGGGGCAAATGGGGAGTTCAAAATTTCCAACCGCTCGGCCACCAGCAGCAGTTAAGGGGTCGCCAGCGGTTAAAGGGTGCAGGGGTCAGCCTTGATATGTCAAGATGTCTCTTTCCAAAAAGTTGACTTTAGACAAATTGGATGTTAGGGGGAAACGAGTCATCATGAGGGTAGACTTCAACGTCCCCATGAAGAACCAGCAGATTACAAACAACCAGAGAATCAAGGCTGCCATCCCAAGCATCAAGTACTGCCTGGACCGCGGGGCCAAGTGTGTCGTTCTTATGAGTCATCTGGGCCGGCCCGATGGTGTCCCCATGCCTGACAAGTACTCCCTGGAGCCTGTTGCTGCTGAGCTCAAAGCCTTGCTGTGCAAGGATGTTCTGTTCCTGAAGGATTGTGTGGGTCCGGAAGTGGAGAAAGCCTGTGCCAGCCCTGCCATCGGCTCGGTCATCCTGCTGGAGAATCTGCGCTTCCATGTGGAGGAGGAAGGGAAGGGCCAAGATCCTTCTGGAAAGAAACTCAAAGCCGAGCCAGATAAAGTCGAAGCCTTCCGAGCGTCCCTGTCCAAGCTGGGGGATGTCTACGTCAACGATGCTTTCGGCACTGCGCACCGGGCTCACAGCTCCATGGTGGGCGTGAATCTGCCGCAGAAGGCAGCGGGATTCTTGATGAAAAAGGAACTGGAATACTTTGCCAAAGCCTTGGAAAACCCAGAGAGACCCTTTCTGGCTATACTGGGTGGGGCCAAAGTGGCAGATAAGATCCAACTCATCAAAAATATGCTGGACAAAGTCAATCACATGATTATTGGTGGTGGGATGGCTTATACCTTCCTTAAGGTACTCAACAACATGGAGATTGGTGCCTCCCTGTTTGATGAGGAGGGGGCCAAGATTGTCAGAGAGATCATGGACAAAGCAAATAAGAATGGTGTCAAGATCACCTTTCCTGTTGACTTTGTCACTGCTGACAAGTTTGAGGAGAAGGCTACAGTTGGACAAGCCACTGTAGAATCTGGAATACCTCCTGGCTGGATGGGTTTGGACTGTGGTTCAGAAAGCAATAAAAAGTTTGCTCAAGTCGTAGCTCAGGCAAAGCTGATCGTTTGGAATGGCCCCGTGGGAGTGTTTGAGTGGGATGCCTTTGCTAAGGGAACAAAAGCCCTCATGGATGAGGTCGTGAAGGCCACTTCCAAAGGCTGTGTCACCATCATAGGGGGTGGAGACACTGCTACTTGCTGTGCCAAGTGGAACACTGAAGACAAAGTCAGCCATGTGAGCACTGGTGGGGGTGCCAGCCTCGAGCTGCTGGAAGGCAAAGTGCTTCCTGGTGTGGAGGCCCTCAGCAACTTGGAGTCAGATGAGTGTTGTTCTTTCCTGCTCTTCATGTCCAGTGTTCAAGTCAAGTCAGTACGTTCATAACTCAATTTGATTTTGGTGAAAATCTTTTCTTATTAAGACCCACACAAGGATAAAGTCACCAGAACCTCAGGAACTCTTAATATCAATACAACAACTCAGTGATTTCAGCGCTGTCTCACTTTGGCCTGCTGCCCTCAAGATATTTGGACTTCACCGCTGTGCTTTGTAGGGAGAATATCTTAAATTAAACAAAGTGAGCTGAATAATTTGTATGTCTGCTTTCATTTTAGTCCTGCTTTGTTAGCGTTTCTCTGTTTCAAACAGGAAAACAGGACCAACCCAAGTCATTATGGAGTGGTGGGGCCAACGGTGACAAATGTTAAACAATGACAGTGCCCCAACAGAAACCTTTTTTGCATGCAATAAATCCTAGGTATTAATAGAGATCTACTGAAAGAAAATTGATTCCTAAGTAAGAAAAGGAAAGAAAAAGATATTCAGTAAGTCTAAATATTTAGGAAAAAATATTCAGGCACGAGGAAGAAATGATGTCTTCGTGCCTGTGGGGGCACATGTGGGATCGTGCATGTATATCTGGTTGGAAAGGAGTTCAAATTAAACTCAAGAAGCAAATGGAGAAGTAATGATTTTAAATCAAATGTATTTAATAGTGAATCATAAATTCTAAGAGTGAGTTTTAGAGATAAATTTATATACAAGTAGATTAGTATTAAAAAAGAGCTATAATAACTCTCTTATATTAAAAAATTAATAAAGACTGAACTATTGATTGAAGAACATGTTCCCAGTACAGCATGGCCAAGAACTGGATTGGGCAGAGCAACACTGTTCATAATTTAAAACTAAAAAATGCACCATAAGTTTTAACAGCTATGACTTATTTCTTGTAGCTTCTAGATCAATGCATGTGTAAGTAGCCAGAATAATTAAGCTTCAAGTATAAATTTTAACACAGTACTTCACCATATTTTAAAGAGAATGTCAGTAATCTCATGGGAATGTCAAGGAATAAGGAACCAAAGTATATTTTTAAAAAAAGATAAAAAAGTAATAATCAAAATTTCCACATGTGAAGCAATTCTTAGCTTCTCTCATTAAAGCACATGTTAAAAATGTAGGACTTGCCCACGTGATCAGGAAGGGACCTGAGCCAGTGAAACAAACCTACTGCTCGGCAAGGGCCTTCAGTCCTTGCCTGAGGTGTCTGTCCGACAGTTTGCTACTGGATTACCAGCCGGAAGAGGGAAACTAGTGAACAGCAACGTGTTTTATATTCAATGCATGATGTCAAGAATTCAAGAATTGTTTTCACTTACAGATAATTTATTATACAATGACGTCTGTTCTGCAAGTAAGGTTTGAGAATGTCTTATTTCTAGCTGGATAGATTGTTGTAACTAAAAATCAATACAATCTATTACTAAAAGGAAGTAGGAGGGAAATAACGTCTGATGAGAAATCTGCTGTTGTGCTAAGTTTCACTCTGGCCAGCCATGTACCCTTCTCACATGGAGAAGCATCTCTTTTCTCTTCTATGCCAGGACTGTAGCTCAGTGGATCAAGGCCCTGCCTGACAAGCACAAGGTATTGAGTTCAATTCCCACTACACACACACACACACACACACACACACACACACACAGCCCTTAGCCAAGAGGTGCAATCAGATTGTTTTTGCATCTTGTTCCAATTTGGAGTCTCTGGGTGATGAGTCACCCTTTCTATGTGACGTAAAGGAAAGCACCCCCTTCTAACTAAGTAGAAAGCAACCTCACTGTTCTCTGGCCCTCCTCACCTCCAAACACACCCAATATACCATGATGGAAATGCAGGGGGACCACAGTAACAATGAGGAAGCAAAAGAAATGCATTGTTTCATTACAATTGTGAAAGAAATCTCATTAACCAGAACTTCAAGAATTCCTTGTCCTGGCAGCAGGACAAATTGCACTGCTGCACGCACTCTATTCTCTGGAAGAATCTTCTTGCTTGCATTTTGTTTCTAGCCTTTACTTGACCAACTGGGGAATTTTTCTTTGGAGACACAGGTCATGTTGACACACCATAGAGACTTTCCACCCTCCTTCTTGCTGGTGCACTTTTATGAAAGAAAAGATGTGTGTCTGTGGTGGTTCACTAAAAACCTCCAGAGTCCAGAGCTACTTTCTAAATTGTCTCAGGAAAACTAAACGTTTTGACCCATTTAATTTCAGAAAAAAATAAATGATTGAGCACCAATCATCATCATTGTTTTAACTCACACTTGTTAAACATCTGGCTCATGTTTAGTGGCCTTCTTTGCTGAGCCCACTTGGTCTTTAATAATCAGAAGGCAAGGCCATCTGAACAAAGTAGCAGGAGGAGTCCCCTGCTTCCGTTTTCCGGTGTGCTGTATTCGAGCCATGTGTCACCACCTGCAGCCATCCCCTACCTTTCTCATTGCAGCTGTTCATATGTTTTCCTGGCTACTCTTATTTTGTGTTGTAATAAATTGCAAAGAACACACAAACAAAAAACAATGGTAAATCGCAAACAAAAACCCTTCTTTCTAAGTGCTAGGCTATCTACCTGCATAGATTCTGTATGTGTACATTTATATGGATTATTTTATAAACTGTTAAAATTTCATGGTTACAAATTATAATTACATGCAGCAAAAAGATATAGCTTTCTACATTCTAAAATAATATGGGTACTGGGTTATTTTTGTTTCTTTGTTTTTAAAATTAAGGTTACCACCAATGACAGTGATGCCTCCGGTTTTGTTTCAAACTAACAAAGCTGAGTTCCTATGTACAAGATAGACATTCTAGTTATTTAAGTCACACACTTGGCCAAAGTTATTCATTTATTTTCTGTCTATTTAAAAATACCTGGACTTTAGTTGCTTGTTTAATAAATATTAGCTAACAAAGTTTTGATTAATTCAGTTAAAATACAACTTTGTGCTATATTATATGGCCTTATTTTTCCTTTTAATAATTTCCAAACTTAGTATGTTACTAGAAATCTAGATTTTGCAGCAAAATTTGTGATCATTTGGTATCTCCTCACTACTGAACCCAAGAAGCCTCCCAGAGCCCCACCCCCAACCCCGTGGCTGTGAACTGCAGCCAAGCAGACAATAGTGCAGTTGCTGGATGTCTTTATGTCTCCTCTCTCAGCTGTTACTTCACAGATCTTGCCCATTTCCATAGCTATGGAGATGAGGGAGGCTGTCCAGGCCCTGCTGCTCCACCTTAGTCACCTATGAAGACGCTAAACAACTTACTTATAATAGTCTAACTTAATCTTCCCTTTAAAATTCTGTGCCATGGGTCAGGGAGATGACTCACTGGCCTAAGTGCCTGCCTA